CGGCAAACAGAAACAGCTGCTAAGAAAAAGAAAAGACAGTTTGGGAAGAGAGTGAAGCAATGAACATAATAATTAATCTGCTGATGACAAGTGACAGAGAAACATAGGGCGGCGCCCATAGCTGTACGGGAGCTTACACTGCTAGCACTTGTTGCGAGTGTCCTGGTGGCTACACCCTATTGCTCCACCTCCTCCTCCTGCAAGTATATATTATTATCCTTTTGCATGCTGATGTACGTACATGTGCCCTTCTCAAGCCACTCATTCATGTACGCTTCAATGACACTGTTCCAAGAAAAAGATTTTTACTGTATCTGGACCCTTTTGTTTCTTACTTTCTTCACGTGATTATTGTACTTCTTGTTTGATAAACTTTAACCTTTCAAAAAGCAACGAGAAATGAGAAAGTCGATTTTTTTTTTCTGCATTTTGTGATATGGGGTCAATATGATTCCGTGTGAATCATTTGCTAATAAGATAACATTCCATGAAGAAATGACTTTATATCCGATGAACATAAGGTAAATTTATACATAAAATTCTTATGTATCAAGTTGTTTTAGCAATTTGGAAATGTTTTTCATCAGGGATTCTTTGAATGTTGATGCTTATTTTGGTAAGTTTTTACACTGCTGTTTGTTTATAAATGATCCGAGCATAGCCAAATGGAGATGTTTTAAAGAAGAACGTAGTCGGACTGTCAACCAAAACCTTTGTCTCAAACTTTGGTTAACTTTCTGTAGCACATTTCATAACATCATGCAAATTTTTTTTCTTTCGTGCAATCAGATCTCTAGAAACCAACGCTGACTCTGTCAGAATTTAACTTTGATATGTTGAATTAATGGGATGATGATTCATCTAAGAAAGTTTTTTGAGGCTCCTTCATTGACATCCTTGCTTTCGGTGAAAACAGCTTTTCAATCGAAAATCAAGTCGTCAACCTTCAAAATCTAGTTTTACAAGAATTAGACGCCTGCTTCGTTGGGGTGGATTGATGATTTTTTTTTTTTTCAAAATTTTTATTGAATGTGTTAGGAATATTTTTAAAAATTTTTAACATATAATCAATGATTTTTTTATTATTTGTATCGATTTAATATATTAAATTAATTTAATATGATTAATGTCACTTCAATCTTATTCTATCTTAATTATTTTTCATGATTTCTTCAATTTATCTATAAATATAAAGATTTGAATATCATAAAAATAAATTGATTCTATTCATTTCTCTTTTTTTTATCTAATCTGATTTTTATTGATTTAAGCATCGGAAGTATAAACGCATAAAACATTTTTTATCTTTATTTTTAATTTTTTTTTATATTTACAAAATATCTTTAAGTAGGCGTTCAACACCAATAATTTAAGATATTATTATTATTTTAATATAAAATAATAAAAATAAGACACTCACAAATGGTTTTGATTTATTTTTTATTTTTATTTTTTAATGTGTCTTAAATTTATATTTAAAATTATTATTATATTTTTAAAATTTTTATTTTATTATAAATAACAAATAAAATCTTTCATATTTCAATCTTTTCCCTCCCTATTCTCTTTTCTTTTTTTACCTTCCTATGAAAAAATGTCATGTGATTATCAATTGGACATCTAAATTAATGAGTTGCCCTTCAATTTCTATTTTAATAGGGGATTGTTTTCATTCGAGAATAACTTTAATTATAGATTTTTTTTTTTTGTTATAAAATATATGATTAATTTATTGGTTATTGATATTTTATATATTTTTAAATTTTTTAGAAAAAAATTCTTAAAAAATGAGAGAAAATTAAAAAGAGACATAAAAAATCTCACTTTTATTTTTTTATTTTTTTTATTTTCATTTTCTTTGCAACATTTTTAACCCAAAACTGTAGATCAAGAATAAAAACGCTTTGTCATCATCTTAATGGTAACTTATACATGAACCAAAAATCAAATTTAACCCCAACAATATATCCACTGTCACAATTATGCATGCCTCAAATTAATTCCAATCCCAATTTCATTAATATAAAAATTAAGCTTCAAATTTCTAAATGGCTCGTTTATGGTAGGTTAGGGATAGCTTTAATATAATGTATTGATTGATGATTAGAGCCTTTTAAATTTCAAATATCCCACAAAACTTCATCATAGAGGCATGTTTAAGTTACAATAATATATATAAGTTTATATTTGATATATTATCAATATATAAATTTTATATATTATTATTAAATCAGATGATAATAATTTATTAATAAGTAGATATTAATATTTAAAATAAATATATATAAATTAAAAATAAGATATTATTATCATATATATTTTATTAATAAATTATTACCATTTAATTTATTAATAATATATAAAATTTATATACTAATAATATATCAAATATAAATCCTATATAAATATCATATTTAAGGGAAACTTTGACAGATTTTTTTTCTCCAAATTCCCATAGGACTATCCAAATGGCTCATTAAAAGTTAATTTTGGTCAAAAGGATCTCATTTAAGGAGCACTATGTACCATAAGACAGAAAAAAAAGAAAGCGCATTTATTAAAGCATAATCTCCATGTTTTATGAACAGCGTTCATCACTTAATTAATTGCTTCTATTATTGTTGGCATTGGAAATATAATGAATTATAACCACATCGTGTGGAAGTAACCTATTGCCATTTGAATTTTGTATACGAATTGAGTACTTGATGATATGTAAATCATAAATATCTATTATATAAAATTTCAATCACGTGATTGATGTTCGGATTAGTTAATACGAAATTTTAGTAGATGCTTGAAGATTGTAAGCTCTAATGAACTCATGTAATTGCTTCTACTATTAATGGTGAGGGTTGATAATGAGTCAGGTTACAATGAGTTTTTATTCATTTTAAATTTGAATTAATTTTATAATTATAAAATTTAAATTTGATTCGATTTAATTTTTTTATTTTTTTAAATATCTAAATTCGATCCGAATTGATATTATATAAATTGTATTCAATTCGATTTGATCCAAAATTAATAAAAAATTATTTTTAAAGATAAATATATATAAATTAAAAATTATAAAATAAATATTTATATAATATTAAATCAGATCGGATTTGTTTAAAATTTGAATCCGACTCGACCTTAATTTTTTTTAATAATATCAAATTCAAAATCTAATTAAAAAAAAAAAACCATTTCTATAATATTAAATCAAGTTAAAACTCGTTTATTACGAGTTTGACTATTAATCCTACTAATGTCATAGGAAATATTATGATTTATAACCACACATCATGGATTAAGTAGGAAAATGGGGAATGTAAACATCTCTTAAGCAACATCTAACCATTTAAAATTTGTATACGATTTGAGTATTTAATGATATATAAATCATAAATATGTACGAGATAACTTTCAATTACTTGATGCTCGGATAAAGAAATTAGGGATAGATTAAAAACTTCTCTATCATCATCCATCTAGATTCTAGGCCAGGTTTTTTTTTTTTTTTTCTTTTTAATTTTAATTTACTCTTAGATTTTTTATAAAATTATTCATCTAAAAAAATATTACGTGCATAAAATATTTTTGAATCGTAACTTCTAAATGCGTACTTCAATATTTAAGATTGATTTTTTTTATGAGAGGAAATGGTAAAACTTAAAAGACCAGATGCGAGTGAATTCGTAGTTATATAGCCAATGAACTGACTCTTTGTTATGACTTTACATTCAAGTTTGAGTTTCAAATGAAAAAAAAAAAATTAAAGAAATGTGGGTATTTGAGAGGCTAGATTCTCTAAGCACTCAATCAAATAATATTATTAAAGGGAATTTTGAATCCCAAATTGTAATGGCATGCCATCACTCATTACTGTTTTTAATTTCATTAATTGATCGAATATAATCTTAATTGTGTTAATGACACACTATGAAAGATAAAGAAAGAATCACAAGATCTTGACTATGAATCATACCCCACAAAAACAAATTTTATTCCTTCAAATCTTCAGCCACCTTCCATCGTCAGTGGCGTGGGTTAATGATCATTATTGGACCAATTTAGAGTAGTGCTTAGTCATCAGAGCTCAAGTTCCTGGCAAGGTATGGCTTTGAAAGAACAATGTTCATGAAGACTTTTCACCAGTTACCAGGAAAACAATCCATCTATGTAGTATTATCCGACATTTATTTTATATTTAATAAATATATACTTTTTTATAATATTATATTTAAATTAATTTTTTTATAAAACAATTTTAAATAAATAAATTATTTAATTTTTATATCAAAATAAAATATATCATATATAATAATTTAAAATAAATAATTATAAATTATATAAAAAAATTTTTAAGTTAAATATTTAAAATTTTTTATTTTTTTTTATTTAATAAATATTTAATATGTTATAATTTTATATTTAAATTAAAATTTTTTATCTGCGTTTTAAATTCGATACTTATTTATTATACCAACACTAAGCACACCCACGTGAAGATTCTTCAGCCCTAATGCCCTCCTCTCCTGGGTCGTCTCCGTTCCCACAGTCCTATACAACACTTAAATATTCCACTAGTACATCTCCATCGTCGTCATCATCGTCTTTTGACAAAATCACACGGCTAAGATTCATGTATCAATTTGATCATGACACCACTGTCAACTTTGCGTACTCTTCCATCTCACATAAAAAAAAACAGCTTTGAAACGCATATCGCTTCAGATTTTGTTCCCAGAAGTATTTTTGTATAAAGAAGAGAGAGAGGCGTGGCCTGGAATCATAATGAGAATGGAAAGAGACTGATACGCTACCGAAATGGATTAAGTTTTAAAGATTAAATGCTGGAATTGTTGTTTTCCACTATATTTTTGTACTACAGTCATTATGTGACAATCTCTATATATTTTCAACCAGGGTTAGTTTTTGTACCATAGTTGAATTAAGTTACTCTATTTAATCGCATCTCTTCAGTTCATTGTCTTATGAGCTAGCCACAGAAGTCTGTCTGCCTACTTCTTGGTCTATTGTATTCCCTTATAAGCCAAGCACCAGTTCTCCAATTGCCAGGAGTAGTTTTTGTTGAATACCCGTCTTAGAGGAAGTGCTAAAAATGTATCCGGAACATGGTTTTCTGTTGTTTCGCTCACCTTTGTTGAGCTTTGAAGCATTTCTCTGGGCTGTTTTATTGGTTGGAATCGTTGCCTTGTGGCTTTCTCCTGGAGGGCTTGCATGGGCTCGTTTCAGGTCCAAGGCGAGTTTCGCAATCCCTGGTCCGCTGGGGTTCCCTCTCCTTGGGTTACTTACTGTGTTCACTGGCTCGTGTCCTCACCGAGTCCTTGCTAAACTTGCTAAAACCCTCAACGCAGTGAAGTTGATGGCTTTCTCTGTGGGATTCACTAGGTTTATTATTTGCAGTCATCCTGAAACAGCGAGAGATATTCTTAACAACTCAGCATTTGCTGATAGGCCAGTGAAGGAGTCAGCGTATGAGCTTTTGTTTCACAGGGCAATGGGCTTCGCTCCTTATGGGGAATATTGGAGGAATTTGAGGCGAATCTCAGCTACCCATTTGTTTAGTCCCAAGAGAATTGCTGGCTTTGAAGGGCTAAGGCGTGAGATTGGTGTAAAGATGGTCGAAGAGATAAAGGCTTTAATGGAAGCGAAAGGTGAGGTTCTGATAAAAAAGGTTCTTCATTTCGGATCGTTGAACAATGTCATGGTGACTGTGTTTGGTAAAACATACGACTTCGAGAAGACTAGAGAAGGGTTCGAACTTGAGGAGCTTGTGAGTGAAGGATACAAGTTGTTGGGGATATTCAATTGGAGTGATCATTTTCCTCTTCTGTGCTGGTTAGATTTACAAGGTGTAAGGAAAAGATGTAGAAATTTGGTTTCAAAAGTTAACGTGTTTGTTGGGAAGATAATAGAAGAGCATAGACTGAAAAGGGCTAAGGGGAATTGAAAGATGATTGTAGTGAAGTTGGGGACTTTGTGGATGTGTTGCTTGATTTGGAAAAACATGAAAAACTTAATGACTCCGATATGATCGCTGTTTTATGGGTATGCCACACTATTCTTTTCATAATGTTAGCATCTTAATTTTTTGTTTTATTTAGTTGCATGCTTTAGCTACTGGACACTTGTTTTGCATGGTTATGCAGGAGATGATATTCAGGGGTACTGATACTGTGGCTATCCTGCTAGAATGGATTCTAGCGAGAATGGTTTTGCACCCAGAAATCCAAGCAAAGGCTCAAGCTGAGATTGATACTGTTGTTGGAAATTCAAAGCAGGTGTCGGACTCGGATATTGTAAATCTTCCCTTTGTTCAAGGCATTGTGAAGGAGACTCTTAGAGTGCATCCACCAGGGCCTCTTCTCTCATGGGCTCGTCTTGCCATCCACGATATTCATGTAGGTGATAATTTTATTCCTGCAAATACAACAGCAATGGTGAACATGTGGGCAATAACACATGATGAAAAGGTGTGGGCGCAGCCAGAAAAGTTCAAGCCAGAGCGTTTCATGGAAGAAGATGTGAATATCATGGGGTCGGATCTCAGGCTGGCTCCTTTCGGTTCTGGTAGGAGGGTTTGCCCGGGTAAAGCCATGGGTATGGCGACTGTTTGTCTTTGGTTGGCTCAGTTACTTCGAGAATTCAAATGGGTTCCTTGTGAGAATGGGGATGTGGACCTGACTGAACATTTGAAACTTTCCATGGAGATGAAGAACCCTCTGATATGCAGGGCAATACCTAGGTTTACTTGAATAGCTGGTTGGACTTTGACATGGTTCTTCTATGGTTTTGCTTTCATGACGGAATGAATGCATTTAGGAACCTAGGGTTTCTTTGGGTTTTTTAGCTTTTCCTGTGAAGCCTGTAATAAGTTTTTGTTGAAGCTGACTTGAGAAAAAAAAGGTAAGTGGTAGGATTTTGGGTGGTTCTCGTTTGCAGAATATAAGTAGTGGGGAAGCATTCCTAGCCAGCATATTATCTTTTGTGAGATGTTGTCAGGACATAAGTCTAGCTAGGCTTGGCTTTTATGTACTGTGAAAACTATATGAATGAAGCGATGATCATCTTATGCTTTCTACAAAACCCTTCTGATATTTGATCTTATTCACAGCTTGTGTATAATATCCTTTCAGTGTTTCTATTTCAAGCATTTCATGTGTTTCCATAAATGTGTATGATAAGCCATTTATTTTGTTTCCACTTCAATCTGCTAAACAGCAGCTCGTCTAATCCCCATTGCTGGGTTTGCTTCAACTTGTAGACCATGCACAGCTAAAAACCATATTGTAGAAAAACTTTAAGCAAATAGTGGAAACTGTGTAGGACAGAGACTTACATTTCAAGCCATGCAAAAGTAAGTTTCAAATACCCTTGAGTAACATGTCTGTTAACAAGAGAATAAATACTCTTTATGATACAAGCAACATCTTGGATTTTTATTGGTAACAGTATTCGAATTAAATCCTATAAAATGAAATATTTGATTTTTATCAATTTAATCGAGTCAAAATTTTTTCCAGAGCCTTTATAAGTCAAAATTTTTTGTGCTAAATAAGTAGTAACTAAGTTCTGACCTAAAGGAGAAAAAAGAAAGGCAATTTGTGAACTATATTTACATTAATGGTTCATTTATAAGAGTAACTTTTTACTATAGAGGAACTAGAAACTATAATAGCTGGTTTACCAACCAAATTCTTATGCTTTAAAACTTTAAGACGATGGCTTCTGGCCAGGGCCATGACTGAGATAGTCCCTTCTAACATCAATACATTTTTCCCTTTCCTGATAGGAAAAGGATGAAATCAAGCAATCTGTCTATTGTTACTCGTTGGTCATTACCAATAAATATATATATATATATATAAACGATCGAATAAAAAATTTTATTTCAAATGTGTCCATCCATCTGCGATCTGTTGTGTTGTTTTTTGCATCTTTATCTTATACAATCAAAATCATTGTCGCAGATGGATGGACACATTTGAAATAAAATTTTTTATTCGATCGTTAATTTTAAATTAAATTATTTATAGTTTGAATTAATCAAATTATATTATTTTATATTTGTTAATTAAATCAAATTTTTTAATTTAAAAAATTAATTGATCAAAATTAATTCAATTAGTTCAATTAATTTTTTTGATTAATCGAATAATAAAATATATTAAATTAAATTTTAAATTTTTTATATTTAAAATAAATTAAATAAAATTATCCAATAAAAATATTTAAATAGTATTTGAAATGAAATGAGTAAATTCATATATTTTTAGTTATACATACATATAGGATTTATTATATTTCAGTTAAAATTTTAATTAATTCTATTTTGAAAATCAAAATTTCTTTATAATCATTTTTATAATAGATTGCATTTAATTCAATAATCGACCGATTAATAGAATTAAATCGATTCGATCAATTAATTCTATTTATAAATACTTTTAATTTGAAAGAAAATTAGGGATGATGGTCCAATTCGGTAAGTTTTGACCTAACTTAATCTTTTAAGGTCAATTTTTTTTCTTAAATAAAATTTTGGGTTGAATTGTAGTAGATAAAAGTTAGGTTGTATCCTCGTCGAGTTCTAGGCAAACTTACCTTGCCTTGACCCGATATATATATATATATATATAAAAATTATTTTTTAATTAATTATATAATTATATTTATTATATTTATTTAATTTTATATTTATATTTAAAAAATAATATTTTATTAATTTTGATCTAATCAAATCAGGTGCATTTTATACAACAAAAGATCAAGTCAGGTTTAGATATAAAAATAAAAAAATATTAAATCAAATTCAAAATGAATAAAAATCTGTTGCAACTTGACTTGTTGCTATAGCCACAACACAGACCATTCAAAAATAATACATTAGTAAAATCTATACTTCCCTAACTAACTGGTTAATGCAAAATGTTTCACTTGCTGTTGGAGATTCCTGGCAAGTGACTATAATTTGTATTGGCTACAGTTTAGAAATTCTTATGTAATATTTACTTGTTTTTTGTTTTATGGCTCCCACTGCACGCTAGTACAATACTCTCAAATGATTGAAGAATAAGAACCGAAAGCCCCATAACAATGAGAATGGGGGGGGCCAAATATTTATGGCTCAGCTCTTTTTTCAAGTGAAGGAATATCATATCTACCTTTTTTTTTTTTTTTCTCTCTTTGTAAAGGAGATGCAATGGGGATTTGGATATCCAAACCAACGCTTCGTATTGCCAAAGCAGTGTACTCCAAAGTTGCTTTTCTTTCTACATTTTTATTGATTCTGATCTCATCTCTATTATATTCCCCCTCAGGTCCCCAGCCAGGGTTTGTTTTTTCCATTGCTTTTCATCTCCAAAAGGTGCAGTCATTCATCATTAATCATCCTAGTCTTTCCTCCATGCTTTAAAAATAATTACCATTCCATGGACTCATGATTATTAAACCATGACATGAAACAGTAGAAATCTTTCAGAAATGGATGCATCTGATCATCATATCAATCATTTGTCCAAGAAAATGCTTCATCAAACCCTGTGTTTCTACTTTCTATATCAATAATTTCGACCAAAACCAGCAGCATCCGTATTAAAAGTGGACCCAACATCAAGCAACTCCTTGTGCCGAAAGTTTCATTCGCATTTCGAACCCTGTGCTAGATCATTTCATGGCTCTTTCTAAATCATAACAGAAAAAGCATGAAACTATTGTAGTGGCAAGAGAATATTTCCCTGAGATAACAAAAAAAAAATCAGTACTTTGGAGTACTGCAGATATGATAATTATCACTAGCTACCTAACAGATGAAACCAGAAGTATTCGGCTGGTATATTAGTATATATCAGTCTCTGCGGGAGAGATCATTGAGAAACTTCAACAACCTAAGCTTAGGCCTTAGGGCATATCAGAATTAAGTATTTGGTAATTAGGTTGCTTTCTTTTTTTTTTTAATCTGCAAAGTTTGATTCTGGTTGGTTCAAATGTAATTATAAACTAGTTAACTAAAGGTGTCAGAAAAGTAGTTAAAAGAGTACATGGAATTCCCTGATCAATTATGGAATATCTATATATATATATATATATATATATATTCCATAATCTAGGGTAGAGAGAATGTAGGCATTTCTTTTGGTGGCATATAATCATCCCTCACAAAAGGTATTTAACTTTAGATTTCCAATAAACAAATCCAATAATCTAAAGGTTCCAAACAAGATTAAGTTCATGAGATTTACACATGGAATGTGGTTTAAGCATATCTAAAAATGTCATTAATATGTCATTTGTTCTTCCAAAAACACCATTTATACGTTAAGCTAAAGATTTGGAATAAGGTTAAGCTGTGAAATTCACACATAAAAGGTGGTTTAAGCGGACTCTGAAAGTATCACTTATACGTCATTTGTCTTTTTAAGAATGTTATCTATGTATCATATGTCTTAGCCGAATTTTATTACGAGTAAAAGAAATATACATGCATTACACTTGACACTTGTATAACGTTTTTCCTTGTATCAACTAAAGCTTTCATTGTCTCTTTTATAAATTCTTTTTAAGAAAATATCAAGGAAAGACCAACATGCGAGAGCAAGTCCACCATCTGTGTTCTCAAATTCTTCCGGTTTTGTCTTGTAAAATTTTGTGGACAAGAACCAACAAATAGCCTTCGTGAATTCCTTTGGTTTATCTTATTGGTGAAGTGATTAAAAAAAATCAGTAACATGGAAAAACATTTGTTATATGGATTCTTCCAATGCCATTTGTCTTTAACTTGTCTTTTCTGTCTTTTAAGAATAGAATTTGAATTTTGTTCAAAATGAAATATTCAACAAAGTGGAGCAATTTGCATAACAGGATAGAACATTTTTTTTTTTTCAGTCAAAAGGTGTTCAATCTCTCTTGACCCTTCTTTGAATCACTTAGAATTGAAAAACACCTCTTAAAGATCCCTTTTGGCCACAAGAATAAGCCGCATTGGCCTAGCTAGTTCCAAATATACATCTCTTAATTGGGTAGAAATTGATATTTTTACTCTCATATTTCTCCTCTTACTTTTACCTCCGGTTTCCACTTTTTGAGTTGTAAGGGTGTTAGGGGCATTTTGTGGTGGAGTAAAATAGACATTTTGTCTAGAGTATGAGTTATCATTCACATGGGAATATTTTTGTTAATTTGATTTGAATTAATGTATCGAGTCGAGTTGAAGTTTTAAATTTTATATTAATTTAATCATTTTAATTGATTATTTAATATCGTATCGGAATGTTAACTTGTTATTTTTCAATTGAACTATTAATTATTAGCTCAATTTGGCTAACACGTTAATCTTAATTTTGCTACTTCATCATACAGTTATAAATAATTCTTCTAAGATACTATCAAATTATTTGAATTTTTCATATTTACTTTCAAATTAATTCTTTCTTTCACGTTAGAAAAACTTTCGGCCTTTATTATGAATTGACTTTCTTTTTTATGATTTTAAAATTCTACCCTTGTCAAAACAGCCCAACACCGGCTCTTCTTTTTTTTTTTTTTGTTTTGTGAGAAAAATTCTCAGGAAAGAAATTGAAATTATTTATAGTTTTCTCTTTCTTTTACCTTCCTATAAATAAAATAATATATAATTGCAAAAATTACAAATACTTTATTTTTCTTTTTACGGCCAATGCAGGCCCAATATATGGAATTTCTCTTACTGAATAACTGTCTGACTCGAAAAATTGGGCTTTGACCTGTGAAGGCCCAAAATGTCCTGGCGGGGCCCATTAAATTTACCAGCGCAACGGCCATCTGGCAATTCTGCGTTTGCTTCTCTGAGTATATCCGAGCTTTACTCAACCGTCCTCATCCACTCTGGATCCGACTCCGACTCCGACTCCGACTCCGATTCCCGCAAATCCAAATCTAAACCGCCGCCGCCTCGTGAACCGGACCTTTGCTCCACAATGCTTTACAAAGACGGAGACGAAGAAGACGAAGATGACTCCTCTCTCCCTCCCCTCCTCAAACGTCTGCCGAAAGACTTCGGTGGCGGAGGCGGCGGTCCTATCGACGACGACGACGACGCCGGAAATTTGGGAACCACGATAGGGAAAGCCGATCGCGGACGTAACACCCGCGGTCAAACGTCGTATTCGTTTAACCCACCGGCAGCGGCGGCGGTGAGCCCGATGAAGGCAATGAGAGAGAATATGGACGTTGATGATTATGATGATTATGAGAGAGAATATTTTTGTTAACTGAATCTCAGTACTTCCCACCCTATACTCTTCTTAGTTCAATAAGTTCCAGTTTATAATTCTGTGTGTGTGTATGTTTGGTTAATGTGGGTTTTATTTATTTTGTATTTTAAGTGTATGTATCACTGAAGTAGTTAAGTATTTAATCTAGTTGCTAACTCAAGCATTCAATTTACTGGGCCTGTTTTCTAGGGTGGATAAGAGAAGGGATGCTTCAGCAAACACTGCTACAATGGAAAAATCACACCTAATGTCTCAGGGATCTTCTGCATCAATATTTATCCCTCCTGAACAGGAACTGAGGTCAGACAATATTCCACAGGCAAGGGCAAAAGGTGGCAGTGAAATCAGTAGTAGCACATTGAAGAATGAAACAATCAGCAAGAAAAAAGCTTTTGCTTTGCAGGATAAGGTTATTTTCATTCTGTAATCTATGTCTCCATCAATCAAAAGAATTTCTTTATGAGAAAACAAGGTCATAACTAGACTGGTGGTCTCCTGGAATTCTGAGTGAATCTTTTTTCACTGAAATTAGTAACCTTGAATTTGAAGTCGTTCTGCTTTTAAAATTTTCTGCCCTTTTATTCAAAGTTTCATAATTAGCTTGAATTTAAGCATGAGGAACTTGGGGTTGTTGCTCTTGATATTTACAGTTAATTAGCCTCTTGCTTCACAAGGGTCTCTCCAGCCATTCTCCTCTTTCCTTCCTTTCCTCATTCCCCTAATTGTTAACTATCTAGTAATTGTTTGCTTTTTCCGTTTACTTATGTGCTCCCATCTTATTCCTACTTTTGCTGTGACTGCATCTGAGAGGCCTGATTGGCACTTGTTTTTGCATCTCTTTTCAATATATGCAGCTGGTAACACAGTACCCATTCCATTCTTGAGGGCCTTGGATATATGCCCAATTGCCCTTTTGTCATATAATGTCCTTGGAGGCATGCAGCAGGATTGTAGTGGAACCGTTGCAGTGGAAGCAGTCCAGGAACTTTTTGCTGGTGATGGACAATACAGAAAAGGTCGAAGAGCTCAAAATGAGGTCAATTCCCATCCTCCTCTCTCCATATCCTTCTTGCTTTCCCTTTTCTTTTCCTTGTCTCTCTCTCTCTCTCTCTCTCAGAGGTTTAAGAATTATTTGCCAGTTTAACACGCTACAGATGCCACTTCCTCCGAGTGTCTACCAAAGACTCACTTCAAGTTCTACACTGATGAATCTGGCACTGGCCCTACCTTACCACAAAATGTAAGTATTTGGAACTTACCAATATCGGCTACTCTGTCTTTTTTTTTACCACATTTGTCTTCTATTTGTTGCAGCTGCTATGATGAAATGCCGCTTCAAGAGTTGCAGGCGACACAAGAGCAGCAGACTATTCAAAACCTGTGCGACACACTATGAACTATTCTCCGGTTGTAGATAGTTATATGCTTATTTATTGTTCTATGTTATTTTTCTTATCCCCTTTGCTTTAAGATTTTGTAGGGTTATGTTATATAGGTTACATGATGAAGTGCAATCAAATTTTCTACTATCATATATTTCCTTCATCATCTGTGATAAGAAATAAATGTGTTTTATCTCGTTTACCTTCTTTTAAGATTTGTCAAGTATTGGTCTGTGCAAAGATTAGCAATTGATAAAATCAACATGTAGTTGACCAAAATGGGAATGTTAAGTGACAGGCACACGATTAAAGAAAGAAACAATCAGCCAGAGCTGGGGTGCGGATATCCTTTAATTCTGCGTTCAGAGTTTTTTGGAGGTGACTTGAGTCAGAAAAGTGAAAAACCATCTAATGCAGCAATCAGAGAAAATGGTAAAATCTTCAGCAGATCTTTATTTTCTGTAAAATGGAAGTTGTATTTCGCAGATTCGGCCATGGCCTGGGAAGTTATTGGAGTTTATACCCTTTTAATGATTTTAACATATTATTACTGAAATATGAAAAGTAGAGTATTTTGTATTGTCATTTACATGTATTTAGACTGTTGAATCCCATACCAATTCCACGGTCCCAGAAATAGAAACTCATAAAGTAAAAGAGAGAGTGAAACCATTTCTTTTAGGCACTGATAAAGGTAACAGCAAAATGTTACTGTATAAAGTAAAACACCAGCTGAAGGAGATGGCAATAGAGAAGAATGAGCAATGGTAGAATTATTATCTGTTACAAAGCTTTTGAAGGCTTCCTTGGGCTTTGCTGCTTCTCTACTACAAGGCTCTCTCTTCTTCGTTTACTTATTGTCTATTATGCAGCAGCACTTCCACCCACAACAAACATGAAAACCAGCAAGAAGAAGAAGACCCTCATCTCTGTATATCTCTTTCTTTATTTCTTCAGTACTACTTTTTCTGCTTTAGACTCGAAGTGTTTGATCATAGTTCTCTGTCTAAACCTAGTTGTTGTGAACTTGGTATTTGCAGATGAAACAACTGAAGATGACGGGTGGGAAGAAGAGGATGAAGTCATCAAGCCCAAGGTACATTATTTCTGGTTTCTAGATTTTGTTTTAAGCTATACTTGTACCTTGCTTTTGGTATAATGAGTTGTTTTGATTAACATAGACTTGTGATGGAGGGGATGGTGGTCGAGTTTTATTGCAAGGTGTTCCTCAGGTGAATTGGCTCTCTCTATTGCCCATGATGTCCTAATGCTGTTTAGTGATGACATTAAACTTTATGCTTTCAAGACTACACCTCGTGGATACATTTATGTCAGATTATACAAATTGTCAAATGAGTAAGTTTCCTTAGGGATTGCAAATGCTGGAGAAACTTAAAAAGTTTCTTTTTTGAGAACCTAGCTAATAGCTATCACTTGATTGTTACTTTTATCCCTTATTTTTTGCTTCTGGAAATGAAAAGCAAACAACCTATTTGGTTGATAATAATATATCCTTTTTGTAGTACAAGAGAGGCCACAATCAAGGGAGATTGAAGGGGTATATGTTTTTGAGAATGAAATACATGGTTTTACTTTTACATAGAACACTTATGTTAGAATGGTGTTAGATTTTGATCATTTTCAGTAATAAGATTTGTTTTCTTCTATTTGTTTTTGCTTTTTACGAATTTTTAGGAAGTAAAAAATAAGTAGGAAAAGCAGTAGCCAAGTAGTTTCATTTATTGTGCTTGACCCAACTCATTGATATCTGATCAAGAAAGATGGAAGAAGGGAAGTCATTTAGAAAAGGTTGAATTGCGCCTCTTTTTCTCTCTTTGAAAATATAAAAATTACAATGGACTTACATAATCATTTTGTGATGGATAATCTTTTGATGTGTATTTGGGCATAAATGTATGTACCTTGGCACTTGAATCTCTGGGGTTCATATATTAAAAGATCAATCTTCCTTTCGTCAGATATGCTTTTTCCAGCATTGAGGAGCTAGAGAGCTATAGTCAAGAATACAAGAAAAGATTAGATGAACCTGGAGAAGGGAGAGAAATACCAGATGATTTGGCTCTTTAGGTAATAAGTGGCTAGTTCTTACATGCTAAGGCTTGGATATGGCTCTACTATTTGTCACTAAGTTTGCCTTGATACTGTGGATATATTTGTTATCTAAAAATGATGTTTTTGTTTTGAAGGTATCATCTCCTGGTGCAGAGAGAATACTAAAGGTACCTGATGATTTAGATCGGTTCAAAGATGTGGGTGGATATGAGAGTTTCTTTTATTGAAGATGCAGAGTCTAATTCTAACAAATAGACTGCAGTCTTCTTACTAGGTTCCATTGAGCAAGAGAATTGGCAGATGTGAAGGAGAACAGGGACCCCGACAGCAAAGCTAGACCTTTTAGTCGTAAACAGAGGGATTGGAGATTAAAACTGCCTTTTGACAGGCATAGGATGATAATGCTGAACCTTGAATAATGAAAAACACCAGATGGCAAGTTATAGGGAGCAAGATGTTTATCGACAAGGCTTTGATTTGAAACTGAAAATTCTGTTATCCTTAGCATCTTCCGCATATAACCCAGGTAAGCTTAAAATATCTTACAGATTACTAACAGTAATAACAATTTGATTACATTGGATCACTTTCTTTGTTCCCCACTTTAAAATAGTTTCCTGGTGTAGCCATTACGCTTAGTTTCTTTTGAAGATTATCATTAGGTAGCTTTTCACTGTTGTCTTTTTTTTTTTTTTTGAATTACGTCATCTTTGGTTGTTTAATTTGAGCAATTGGCATGAAGCCTTCTATTTCCTGGCCACATTGCATATTATTGTGAAGTTTCCAACTTGTTATTTGGTCACTTTTCTTGCATTCTCGCAGAACTCTCATGGACTCGTCTCTCTCTTTTAGACCTTGTATCATCAAAATAAGAGTAATCCCTTATATTCTTGAGCTAAAACTGTGGGTATTTTATATTTTTGAAGACTAGGCTTCAAGTTAAGCTTTTACTCAGGGCCCAAGTTTAGGGCTCACTGGTTCTTTCCAACTCATACAATCTAGTTGGTATTTATCTGTTTGTGAAAGTTCTGATTTTGAACCCTAAAAAATGGAGTTGCAAGATTTGAATGTCATATATGAGTGGACCACTAACAAGGGATTTGATTTTTTTGCTCATACTATCATGTGATCTAGACGTTTCATTTCTCAGTAATTGTCAAACGCAAGATTAGGTTACCCAACTTATTGGCTGGAAAGGTTTTTACGCTCGGGTCCCTTTCTGTACCAAATCAGTTTCCATCTAGCTATCCAAACATTAAAGTTGTTCACGTCTCAAAGAAAATAACATTGGAATCTTACTACAATATTGAAAGAACCCATGAAAAGATGAAGTTTATCAGATTGTAAAACCTATATTTCTTGGAGAATATCTCCCAAACATGATACACGCCGAGAAAAAATAACATTGGCCCATGATCGAGACTGATAGGACACAAATATTAGGACTGCCTAAGAAAGTTGCAATTGAACGGAAGAGAATGTTTTCATGGGAAAATTTTGTTCAATAGAAATTCATGATCTGTTTATGAGATTACCCTCTTAGATGCAAAATCTTTGTTTTTATATACTCGGATCAAATTTTAGGTTTTTTTCACCATGGGTAGATGTGGGTTTGGGGTCCAGCTCAAGTGATGTGATCCATCACATTTACTCCTTCATTAATGTAAACAGTAAACATCTTATCATAACGTGGACAAAAGAAGGTTATGTCAGTAAACATCTTATCATAACAAGGACAAAACAATATAATGTCATAGCCATGTATGCCAAGCATTTCAACTCGTTACTATTTTTTTTTTCCTTCTTTTTTTAGAGTTCTGAAAATTGTTTCAACTACGTTCACGTCTCTATCACGAATTCTTAATTTTATTCATTTACAAACAAAAAATCACCGGCTTTAGTTGTGTTACCTTTGAAACCATATCTAATTTGGGACTCAATGAACCAATATAGTTTCATGAACTAATGTCTGATCATCTCCTAAGATTTGTATGAAATGATTATTTCCAAACAATATATATCATTGCATTCGAATTTTAAATTATCATGGTATCAATCATTTCTTAAAAATTACGACAATTTCCACCCTAGCAAAAACTTCATTGGGGAAACAAAACTGAAGTCGATCCAATTTAGGCAAATGGGATCATCAGTCATGGCTCATGGCAATTACGTAAAATCTGATTCCATTTTATCAAAACATACAATTCTTTTGATAGTTTGCTATATTTTCAAAGAAGAGCTAACAGTTTTGGCAGAACTTACGTGTAAATCTGGTGACTACAAATTTTAAGTATATTTCGGAAGCAACTTCAAGGAGGAATCTTTGATATAATTTTTAAGAAGCAATGAAGGGGCTATGAATAAAGCGAGTGGTGAGCAATCAAGATCGAAGACAGCATGTGATTAGAGGATTTACGTCGGCGGTCGAAAGCGAAGAATTTGTCGAAGTTAGAACCTCGCATGCTTGTAATTCTTTACATTTATTTTACGTTGTTATTTTCTTCTCAGCCGCATTTCTTGACTTTGTGTTTTGTTGGTTTTAATTTATTCGATTTTGTCTGATACATCTCCTTTCGAATCGATTTAAAGACATTTTATGTCGGGTTTTTGAGCACGTGAGGTTAGATAATTTACTGCAAACTAGTTTGGCATACCTAAGCAATACGAGATATTATTTATTTTAATTTAAAAAATTTATAATTTTATATCAAAATTTTTTTTTATAAATTTAAATTTAAATTTAATATCATAATAAATTATCAAAATATTTTAATATAAAATTAAAATATCACAAACTCTTCTTATTCAAATTTTATGCTTTCATCAAGTCATATAAAGTACATATAAATTTAAAGTTATCAAATATTAAGATTTTAAAAATAATTTTTATAATATAATATTTATTTCTCTTATAATTTTAGATATAATTTTTATTATATAACATTTAATTTTTATTTAATTAATGATCGTTTTAATATTATTTGTAAAAATTTATATTTAACTTGTGAAATATTATTTATATAAATTTAAAAAATTTTATAATTTTATTTTATAAAAAATATTTCACGAATATAAATTTAAATATTAATTTATATATTATAATAGATTTTCAAAATATCATTATGCCTCTTACGAAGCAATCGATCAATTCCATTTAGGCTGCGTTCCGCAAAACCACCAATGCCAAAGTGTCATTGGTGTTTCAGCTCCTACGGGGGCTCAAATGCGAGGTAAATGGAAAAGCCACCATGCTGGTGGTTTGGTCTAACTTGCTTTTAGACATTGCACAAATTCAGGAAGATTCAATGGAAAATGAGCTTTCTACTTGCAATTTTTTTAGACGTTAAATTATGCATCAAAAATATAGTTTGAACATAAGAGAAAAAGTTTCAATAACAAAACTGAGCACGATCAACTAAAACAAATTTGTTGAAGGAGCAAATTTGAAATTATTTTTAAAATTAAAAATCGTATGAAATTTATTTAAATTTTATAAAAAATCCAAACTTATAAATGATGTACTTTATATAATTTTAGGTGAAATATATTAAAAAAAGAATTGATTTGCGGCCGGCTATAGGTATTCAAGAATGGGCCAAAGAATATGTTATTTGAAGTCTATTAATGAATGTTAGTGCTTTAGAAAATAACAAAAATCTAGAAAGCTTAATGTCATAAATCATGGTTGTGAAATCATAAAAAAAGTTTCATTGAAGCATGTCTATGTTCAATGAGAGAGATGATTGCATTTAGTAGTTACTGAGGCCAATTTAAAGAGCATGTTGAGGTGTTTGGGAGGAGATCTGTCAATCTAAAATAAATAGGATAACACGATACGAATATGATATAAAAATAAAATATAAAAATGATACGATTTAAAATTATAATAATAATTAAATATATATTTAGTAAAGTAAAAAATATATATTTTATATTTTTTTATCGATATAAATTATAATACAATTTTTTTTATAAAACATGATATAAATTTATGAATTTTAATATTTTATATGACATGAATATATAATTCGTCATATCTAGTTGAGAGGCACTACAATTTGGGTTTAATTAAGATCTCAATTTCATGAGATTTGGCCTATGATTCAATCATCTTAGGGGGTATCTTTTGCTCATTGTTTTTGGTACAAAATCCTGGTGGAATAATTTAGTTCAATTTGACTTCAAGAATGGAATAAGAACCTGCTCAAAAGAAACTAGTGGTGATGATGCAATGCTGCATGTATGGTTAATTTGACCTTGATCAATGGCTAATTACAAAGTTGATGTTGAAAAGCACACCAAGATTATTATAAAGAAGAGATATTGAATGATGAAAGAAGCAACAAGCAGTCTCCTTCCCACATTAATCATTGAGGTTATATATATATATATATAATCAAATTTAAGACATAGCAAAGCAAAACTTTAAACCCTTTATATCTCTCCCACAAAGTAATGCTAAAGGTGAGAAGTAGCTATCAAGAGTTTGTTTACGATAAATGTTATTACGAGAATAAAATTTTGAATGCATCAAGGGAATACGAAAAAACATTTAAAAAAAAATTGAATTTAAACAAAATTTAAGAATTTCATATGATTGTATTATAGAAAAAAAAAGTGGGGTTTTGGAGCATAATGAGAGATGGGTATTTGTATTTTTGTCAAAGTAAGAATCAAAACATGAATTGATGTGAGCCTGGAGGGACAATGGTTGATTGGCCATCATACCAAAAAAGGAGTGAAAAATATTTAGACTCCATCAATAATATGTCAGGCTTTGATTGTGCTAAGATTCCTAAAAACTGGGGTACCAAGTCTTGATTTGTCATCATGTGGGGTTTGAATTTGGTGGGAGAAGGGAGCTTTATACCATTTTACTTCAACTACTGAACACTCTTCCCCCTTTCTTTGCTTGAGATTGATATTTGTTTGCCAGAGATTCCAAACTTCCTCTTGATATATTTATCATCTTTTAATCAATTACATGATAGTATATGTTTTTATGTGGCGGAGTAATAATTTAAAATACCATACGATAACATTATATTAACATGATATGAAAAAAAAATAATATGATTTAAATTTTTAAGAATAATATATTTTATATTTTTATATTATTATAAATTAAGATACATAATTTTTGTATAAAATTTAATATTTTGTACTATATAAATACATCAATCATTAAATTTAGGCATACCAAAATTGGAGAAACTAGAGAAAATGATGGCTGACATAATGATATCTTCAACACAAACACTATGAAATATGACATAAAGTTGGTTTATATTTCGTACAAACAAGGAATATAGATCCAAAAGATTGAAATGGCATTAAAAAAAAAAAAACACTTTCACCAATGAATTAAAGAACAAAAATTTAAAGAGGGAAAAAGGAAAATATTGACTAGAGGATTTGGGCATCACCATTCAAAATTCAAAACATTATGCACCATCCAAAAATTTTCTAGAAGTAATTCAACAAGAAAAATTTCAACTACTAATTTATTGAGTTTCTTTTGATTGCTAATTTTTTAATTTATAAATTAAAATCCCTTTGTATAATATAAAAAAGGAATTATATAAAACAAATCATGTTTACTTAATTAATAAATGAATGACTAAAACCCAACACTAATTTTAAAATAATAATTTCAAAAAAAAAATTTTAAATAAAAATTATATTTTTGTTTTTATTTTTTTAAAAATACTATTATTTTACATCCAAATATAAATTTTTACTTTTTTACTTTCAAAATAAAAAAATACCTAAAACAATATCATGACTCAATACTGAAAGATGAAAGATATCAAGAACCATTGAATTTTCAACAAAAAATTCGGTTAATGGGTGTTTCGAAGCATTGTTTAAGAATAATTAAATTATAATTTTAAAATTTTTTATATTTGATGTATTAATTTCATTAAATTAAAAAAGTACATTAATTGTAATTTTTAAATATCATTTAATTAATAAATTATTAGACGTGAGATAATATTTTTTAAAATTATCATTTATATATATAAATATCAAAGATGTCTTGCAAAAAAAATGATTTAAAATATGATATGATAATATAATATAAAAATAATAAAAATATAATTTAATATAATTTAAAATTTTAATAAAAATTAAATATAAATTTGATAAATAAAAAATATATTTTATATTTTTATATAATATAAAATATAATATTTATATAATATATAAAATAAATAAAAATTAATTAATTAATAATTTATACAATAAAATATAAATATATAAATTATTATTATTATTTTTGATCATTAAAAAAGATAAAATCTTATATTAAGAGAAAAAAGAAGGTTAAGGTTGAAACTCCGTCTTGATATTTTTTTTAACACTGTCTATAAAAAACATATAAAAAAAAATGTAAAGCAGTTGGTTTTGGGGGGGGGGGGGACAACCTAAAAGAAAAAGAAAAAGAAAAAGATGCAAATTTTAATTTTTATAACCAAGAAAAAATATAAAACTAACAAGAAAAGCAAAGAGAAAGAGAAAGATTTAATAAAAAAGAATAAAAAAAATTTTAAAAACCATTGTTTTAGTCTTACAAGACAAAAAGTAACGTTGATGCATTTGTCAGAATGTGATTTGGACAGGTGTTTGGTTAGTCTTTTAGGACTTTGTTTCTCAATTCGTCCCCCTGTTTTTTGTTTTTCTTTCCAAAAACAGCCGCTAAGCAAATATTAAATAAAACCCAGGTGTTGATTTATAAAAATTATAGGAGAGTATTTAGGACATAAAGATTTTCGTTTATTTTCTTTGTTTTTTGTTTGTTTATTTTACCAAGAATTTTTTCTTTGTCTATCTAATATTAATATTATCCATCTACTTTCATTTTCTCACAGAAAAAGAGAGAAAGAAACAGAACTTATTTTGCTTTTGTGTGTGTGTTTGGTCAATATCGTTGGTTGCACGTGGAAACCAGAAGGTAAATGCCCCTCAGTTTCTATTCTGAAACAGGTTTTTTTTTTTTTTTTTAAGTTTATCTGTTTTTTGTGTTTATTATTTATAAATAATTATTTCATTTGTTGTTGATCACTCGTCTTCCATCTTCATCTATTTTTTCTGCTCTGGGATCACCCATCTTCTTTATTTCTTCTTCTTCTTCTTTGTAAGCATTTCTTGTTTTTTGTTTTTTGCTTTTGTTTGTTGTAAGTAATAAAATTTTAGATTTTTCTTTGATCAAGGCTCATTTTTTTTTTTTTAAATGTTCTAGGTATAACTGGTTTTGCTGTAAAACTCATCTGTTTGAGACATCAAATGAGTTAAGGTTTTGGTTTTGCTTGATCTCTTGATTGTGATGAACTGATGATCATAACCCTTTTTTGGATTTTCCTTGCTGTGTTTAGTTTAATGTTTAAAACTCTATGCATAAAGTGATGGGCTTTTGGCAATTGGCTATTATGACCTGATTGGTTTTGGTTTTGTTTAATGAATCTTAAACTGTGTTATTAAATATTTCTTACTTTTGGGCCATAGATTCTTTTAACTGTTTAGCATGATCTAGAGTTTTGATGTTTCATTAATTTTAACTAATTGCCTGTGAACTGCAAAAGTTAATGGCTTTATTGTCTGCTGCTACATTTTCTTTGAAACAGTAAGATTTGCTTTTTCATTGCTCTTCTTGGAGTGTTTGCTGAAGAAATTGCTTTCAATTAGTTTTACTCTTGTAACTGTGGATTTGTGTGTTATTGGCTCTGTTTTATCTTAATTCTTATGATTTTAATTTTTTTTTCCTTTTTTTTTGACGTTAGAGTTGGTAAAATAGTCAAAAGCATGGCTCTTTCTGGGGCTCATAATGATAGAGAAGAATTGAGGATTCATGAAAGTTTGGATGAGCTAAGGACAGATTTGGCTGACTATATTGCTCAATTATCTGAGGCTGCGGTGAAGGACCGGGGTGTCTTTGCTATTGCATTGTCTGGAGGTTCTCTCATTGGCTTAATGGGGTATCAATGCATTCCTTTCCCATGTTTGGTTTTTTTGTTTGGTTTTTTTGGTCTTGTGATTTTGGTGTTCTTCCTCTGAAGTTTTTGGTGGGAAACAGAAAACTTTGTGAAGCTCCTTATGACAAGACTGTAGACTGGGCTAAATGGTATATATTTTGGGCTGATGAACGTGTTGTGGCAAAAAACCATTCTGATAGCAATTATAAGCTTGCAAAGGATGGCCTTCTTTCCAAGGTTGGTATCTGGATTTGTTGTTTTTTTCCCTCTCTGCTTTCCAAGAACCAAATGAAGGGAAATTGTGATAAGAAGATGATGTTTGCTGTTCTGATATTGGTATCTTATTAGGATGCGTTCTTTTGTATCTTATTCTTTTCCTGGGTTTCCTGCTTTATTTGATACACAAAGTACAGATTTGTTCCTTCATTATTCAGTGATTAGACCGATCCACACTTTGGATCTTGAAATATTAGCCTTTGCTAGAAGGTATTTAAGCTTAAACTCCCTATCTATGATGTTGGTTTCTGAGTTTGGAACAGACTTATGTTACTTGGTGATGTTAGCTGACCTATGATATCCCAAAATTTGATTATTCTTTAATGGATTCCTTATTTTCAGTGATTCCCATGTTTGCTCTTTCAATTCATCTTCACTGTGTTGTGGTTATCTTCTGATGTTCGGTTTTCTGAGTTTGGAACATAGATGTTCGGTTTTAACTACAAAAAACTTCTTACGTCTAGGGTTCTAGCATTCACAAAATCTTTGGAAATTTCTTGAGTTTCTTGGCAAAAAAAAAAAAAAAAACAGTTTTATTTGACCTTCCTGTGTTATATTGTCAATCATGCCACTTGAATTTCATTTGTTCACGGTGCCATCTTTGACTCACCACAATGTAGAGAACAAATACATGATGCAACTGTGCATTTCTTCTCTCTTAAGAGGGCATTTCTGGCAGCTCGGGGGTGTAAACACTTGTTATAACAATATGGAAGTGTAAATTTCCACATGATTTGAAGAACTTTTGCTGGTGGTTCTACCCTTCTAAGAACTTTTGAACGTCTTCCAGTTACTAATTCCATTGGTTTGTTGAGGATAGCATGAGGCATGCATCTTCAGAATATCAGATATGATCGAAATAGCCTAGATGACTGATGGTTCTGAAAAGCTAAAGGCCTTATGGTGAACCTATCATTTTATCTTTTGTAATCCTTGTAGACTCGTTTCTTTGAAGATGAAGAGTTTGTATATTTGGAACCTTTAAGCTCTTTTTCTTGATATTGATAATCATACAAGTTTGAGAATTCTTAGGACTTGCCGATCTGTTACTGCTTCTTTGTCTATCCCTTGGCTCCTCTCTTTTTCTTAACTTTTTTCTCACATCTTACACTATAAATTAAAGAAACATTTTGATGAATGCTTTTTCATTGTGTGTTATCCGGAACATTAAAAAGCTAGTCCATTAAAAGAACTACTAGCTTTTTAATCATGCTTTGCATTCCTTGGGAGCACTTAGTCTGCAAAAATGACTTGACTAGCATCAAACTAAACTTGATTATGATAAAATTTAGATTAACATTTTATATTTCTTTTCATCAAAATTTCAGAAACTGATGGAAAATTTTTTTTTGAATCATTATATAAACATTTGTATAAATAATGACATTGTTTTCTTCTATTGCTAGAGGGCTTCCATCCACGTTTGGTGTCGTGGTGTCACCATTTTAAAGTTCTGAATATAGCAGTGCTTTCCTTCCTTACTGGATAGATTGATCGATAAATTATAGCTCTGTTTGTTTTGGTAAGTTTACTCCATGTTGTGTGTGCTCTAAGAGCTTATGCCTTGTATTTGCAGGTGCCGATCGTACCCAGCCATGTTCATTCTATCAATGATTCAGTTTCGGCAGAGGAGGCTGCTGATGAGTACATGTTTGTTATTCGGCAGCTAGTCAAAACACGGATGGTCAATGTTTCTGACGTCAGCGACTGCCCCAAGTTTGACCTTATCCTTCTTGGTATGGGCCCTGATGGTCACATTGCCTCGCTATTTCCTAATCATTCAGTCCTTAATGAGACAGACGAATGGGTAACTTTTATCACCGATTCTCCCAAACCGCCACCTGAGAGAATAACTTTCACTTTGCCTGTCATCAATTCTGCATCCAATGTAGCAATGGTAGTGACAGGTGAAAGCAAAGCAGAGGCTGTGCATTTGGCAATTGATAATGTTGGACCTGACTGCCCGTCACTGCCTGCACGGTTAGTCCAACCAACAAAAGGGAAGTCGGTATGGTTTTTGGACAAGCCAGCTGCATCAAAACTGGACGGTCTTCGCTTTTCCGAGTAGGGTCAAGTTTTTCTTGCCAAAGTGTAGTATGTTTGTATGTAGTTGCGGGTTGTGAAACCTGTTGATCCTCCATTAGTTCCTGCTTCTTTTTCTTTTATTTTGGTTAAATTCTTCATTTTGGATTTTCTATTTGAGATAGGAACTGTGGAATCCGTTTTGTAAGGAGAGAAAAATAAAGTTGGGGTCTTTAGTGCAAAAGCTTTTTCCTGGTTAGGTTTCATTTAATGGTGAATTTGAAGATTGGATGCAGTCAAACTTTGAAGCCAGATGAGTGAAATGTTAACCGCATGCCTGCTTTGTTGACATCTACTGGACATACCCTTAGCCTCGATCTTCTAACCTGGATAAAGTAAAATCAAACTGAGGTAATATTAATACAGTTTTGCATACTTCCCACCTAAGAAAATTTCGCTGTTTATGGAATCTACTATAACGGTTGGCGGCGGCATCCCAACATTTGATTCAATGATAAGTACATGTATCCTTTATTAAAAAAATCAGGTTTGAATACCCATTTCCCAAATTCAAAAAAATTAAACAGGTTGAAGTTTGGATTTGAAAGCTTCCTGAATAGCAATGCTTTAAGATCCAAGCCTTAAACTAATAATTACATGGATGATGATTTGATGATAAAATACTAGAACACATAATCTACCTCTTGACATCAGTTGAAATGAAAGATTAGCTTCCTCACCTACCCTTAATCATCCAGAATTAAATAATGGAAATTATTTAAATATGTCCAATCTTTTTCAAGAAAGAGACTGCAGTTGATGTAGGCAGCATAATCTACATGGATTAGACTAACCCCCCAGCAAACCTATCAAAATTTAAGCTCCAAAATATACAACTCAAGAACTAAACTTTATTAGGACAATCTCCTATTGCCACGATGAAAGTATACATTCAAAAATTATTACTTTCAGTGCAAAGTGCCGTCTGAAAATACATTTCTTAGGGATCTCAATCTAGCAAAAGCTGTATCTTTAAGTTCCTCTCACTTCAAGGAAAGTGAGTATATGTTCAGATGAACGTCTTCGGTTAAAGGCATGTAGTAAAATAAACTGTTCATAATCAAAGTATTGTTGTACTGCTTGCCAATGATAGCATTGTCTAATAAGATAAGATCATGCAACTTTTAAGCTTTATGAGAAAAGCAACGATGAGTTTGATGTTCTAACACAAATTCAATCATTTTTGTTCCAAATATCTAAAGGAATCTCCTCTTTTTTCCCTTTGCTGTCTTTTAAGGATGGTAAACTCTGCAGTGCTTGGTAGAAATCGAAGCAATTAATGCTGAGCAACTTCAGGGATTGGAATATATATGCTCTTCATGCATTTCAAAAAATGGTTTCTAAGTTAACAAGATTCAATTGAGTGGGACCAAACACTCGGCTTACTTTACAGTGATATGAAATTTCCTGTGTAAGGCATTTTAGGAAATAAACTATATGAATCACTATGACATCTAAGATCAACTTAGAAACTCCACCAACATGCGGTATTCCCTTTCTGTTATTGATCAAATGCCATTTGGATCAGGGACTGCTTCTTCTTTTTTCTCCTTGGAGGGAAGCCACGTCTGCGTGCAACTAGCCATTAGTCTATGACCCCACAGTCAATTGCATACTCCATTGTGTGTTCTAAGTATCCTTTATCAGTAATGAGATCCAGCTAAACTGTCAACATTCTCAGGAGAGCTGAAAATTTTGTCCAAAAAAAGAAGGATAAGCTGGAATGTTCAAACAACAGTAAATAACCATGATTTTGTATCCGTGCATCAATAATTAGTCAATAACGTGGAAAACTCAATATCAAGATCTTCTACTTATATCTCCAATTATTCTGCTATAGAAGCGAATGCCTTAAGCCTACAATTGGCAAATCATATCTAACACAGCAAAAGATCTTGTCTAAGGTAACAATAATCATCAATCATCCCTTTCTTCATATTTTGTTTTAATCAGCCTGACTAAGCACTTCTCTCAAACACTGGGATGTCAAAGGAAACACATGACGAAAATTAGTAACATGATAAGTTATGCATTAACTTTTAACATTGAACTATTAATTTGGGAATTTGTGAGTTATCAATTATATATGATATGGTCAAATTAATAGCTCGAATCCTACTTAACCATAATATTTCACCTATTTACAAATGAGCCACTTCAAATGGACAGTCAGTATTTCGTGCAAAAAGGTACTCCATGCTGAGTAGTTAGCCATAACAACTGCTCAGGCTTCTCCTTCAAAACAAACTATGTTCTTAATGGTAAAGGAAATGCTCAGCTTGGTAAGGTGCCAAGCTCAACAAACCCTAAGCATACAGGCTCCTAAATAGCCTACACACTTTCATGTAGCAAAGAGCAGAAATAGGCAGATCCACAAGTCAGTACCTGCAAAATGCCATCTCCAGATGCAAACAAATCACAAGAGCAAGGGGCTATGGGGGCATCCTCCATCCTGTGCACTGCACCATTTTGCTCCTTAGTATAATATTGTATCTTGGAAGTCCCATTTGTTACAAACAAAACCTTGAGATTTTCATAATTTAAATTTCTTTCAAAATTCTGATAAAAAAAAATGTTGATTCACGTTTCAGGGTTACAATTAGGAAACCAAAAGCACGAGTCTTTGACCCACATGTCATCTCTTCTATCACCAAGGATGAAAAGAATCTTTGGAGCAGAATGGCGAAGAAATATTGGAGCAGCTGAACTATGAAACGGGCATCCACACAAAGGAGAGATATTCAAGTTCATGACATAAAAAGTAAGGGACAGACCACTTAGCATTAAACATGGCGAAGAGACCGCAATGATTACAATATCCCATCAAAACAAAATTACAAAAAGAAAAATGGGAAGAATACCAGTTGATTAGAAACATTATAAAAGAACAAAAACAGCCAAATCTGAGATAAAGAGAGGTTGAAAGAACCTGGGAAGTGAGAGAAAGTAAGTGAAAGAGAGGGATGCCATTCTGTCTCCACAAGTTTGCAGTTTACCAGAGCATGTAAGAAGAGAGAACCCTCTGTCTCCTTGCTGTGGAGTTTTAAGATTGGAAATCAAAGAGAAGATAGAGGGAACTCAAGGGTTTTAATTTTACACGCTCTCTCTCTCAATATTAAAAAAGAATATAACTTTAAAACGGTGAGTTTTCCTGTTCTCCTTTATCTCTGGCTAAAAGCCAGGCTCCTGAGGAGTCTCTCCAGTCTCCCCACACAGCAGCTTCATCGGTTGGATTCATCAAAGGCTTAATTCTTCTATACAGAATACGTAGACAAGGTACGCCTTTTTTATTGTTTTTATTTAAGAGATTGATACCCATCTAAAGATTTTGCATCCTGTAAATCTGGAAACATGCAACATGCTCTTTTTTCTGCAATTTGTAACTGCAGTGTGATGCTGGCGATTGAGCAAAGCTCAAGCAGCTTTCGCTTGAGAATGAGAGTTGAAGAAACAACTTACATATGAATCCAATTTCAAGCAGACTTGCCAAACGTGTTCTTGGTGCCCAAAAGTATTTTGGAGTTGAATATCAAATGTTTGTGGGTTTTAATGTGAATGGTTTATTTTCTTTCAATACACCAATGGCCATATGCAGCTCTTAAATGTGTCTATTGCACTGATTCACTGTAAATTTCTTCATACTGCTCATAACATGATGCTTTAGATTGGAGGAAGTTTAGGTTTTTCCAGATATAGTTGTGACAGTTAGTTTCAGAAAGTAAATGTTTTTTGTTTAAGATGTCTGAGTTGGTGGTGAATTGGTGATTGATTTAAATGGAAAACTAGCTTTTGGGCTTACATTCCATCCTTTCTCCTAATAGTAATTGCAAGAAATAAAACATGAAAATTGGTACATGTTACTAGAGTCTTTTAATTCAATAGAAATTAGTTAGTTTATAGCTTTTTTAGAATCATTTTTGTAACATTTACTGCAGCATCTTTCTGTGTGTTGCTGCATTCAACCCCGGATTGCTTAGTGGAAGTTCATTCAGGAAGTGGTGATTGCTTTAGGAAGCAATGTGGGTGACAGACTTAATAATTTCAATGAAGCCTTGATGTTAATGAGGAAATTGGGTATAGATATCACAAGACATGCTTGTTTGTATGAGACTGCACCTGCCTTACTGATCAGCCCCGATTTCTCAACTCTGCGGTTAGAGCTGTTACAAAGCTAGGGCCACATGAACTTTTGGGAGTGCTTAAGAAAATTGAGCAGGACATGGGTCGTACTGGTGGAATAAGGTATGGTCCAAGGCCAACTGATCTAGACATCTTGTTTTATGGAAAGTATCGGATTGGTTCTGATATACTTACTGTCCCCCATGAGAGAATTTGGGAGCGATCATTTGTAATGGCCCCACTAATGGATTTACTAGGATCAGTTATTGACAGTGATACAACTGCATGCTGGCATTCTTTCTCAGCAGATTCAGATGGACTATTTGATTCATGGGAGAATTTGGGTGGTGAATTCCTAATTGGAAAGGAAGGAATGAAAAGGGTTTTACCAATTAGGAATCACTTATGGCAGTGGTCAGAGAAAACCTCAGTCACGGGTATTATTAATCTGACCCCAGATAGTTTTAGTGATGGTGGAAAGTTTGTATCTGTGGAGAATGCAGTTTCTCATGTTCGCTTGATGGTTTCAGAAGGAGCAGATATAGTAGATATTGGTGCACAATCTACGTGGCAGAAGGAGCAGATATAGTAGATATCGGTGCATAATCTACATGGCCAATGGCCTCTAGGATTTCTGCAGAAGAAGAATTGGATAGGTTAATCCCTGTCTTAGAAGCTGTTCAAGGAATGCCTGAGATGGAGGGAAAGCTCATATCCGTGGATACTTTCTATTCAGATGTTGCCTTAGAGGCTGTCAAGAAAGGGGCCCATATTATAAATGATGTATATGCCGGGCAGTTAGACCCTAACATGCATAGGATTGTTGCTAGCCTTGATGTTCCTTATATTGCAATGCACATGAGGGAAGACCCTACTACAATGCAGAGTAGTGACAACCTGCAATATGATGATGTTTGTTCTCAGGTTGCCTTCGAATTGTTCTCAAGAGTTAAGCATGCAGAACTATCCGGAGTTCCAGCTTGGAGGATTATTCTTGACCCTGGAATTGGATTCTCCAAGAAGACTGAACATAACTTGGACATCCTCATGGGCTTACCAGCCATTCGTGCAGAGATTGCTAAGAGAAGTTTGGCCGTGTCTCATGCTCCTGTACTTTATGGACCATCAAGAAAGAGATTTTTAGGTGAAATTTGCAATCATCCTGCTGCAATTGAAAGAGATCCTGCAACCACTGCTTCTGTTACTGCTGGGATTTTGGGAGGTGCAAACATTGTCAGGGTGTACAATGTTAAAGACAATGTAGATGCTGTGAAACTTTGTGATGCAATGCTGAAAGAGAGGAGAACTCATCAATCATAATGCTAGGAAAGGCAACCGTCTTAGTTCAATCATTACCATACCCTACCAAAGCCAAAGAATTGTGAGCTAAACATTCGAAGGCCTCAGATGATTTACTAAACTCTTTCTTCATGATAAATAATAAGAAAAATATTTTAAAGATTACACTTTAATCCTGATATGTATAAAAATATATTTATCATTTACTTAATTTTATTAAAAATATTATTATTTAATACTTTAATTTAATAAATTCATGTTTCGCTCATATTTTCTTTTATATATATATATATATATATATATTTTGTTTTAAAAATTTTTTTTGTTAAATAAATTTTGTGAAAAAAAATTGGATGTTGGAGTGACAAAGGTTTCAATTCATTATAATTTAATCAATGCAATTTTTTTAAATAAAGATTGGGTCAAATTTTATCTTTTTGAATAATTTGTGCCAAATTAAAATTGGATTTAGGGTGCTATGCCTCGACCATCCTCAAGAAATATAAAAAAATATATTTTATTATTTATAGTTATATTTTATATTAATAAAAATATTATTTAACATCTTAATTTATTAAAAATTAGAGTTATATATAATTAAGTTATAATTTATATTAAAAAATAAATCATCATTTATACAATTAATATTATAAATTTTAGAGTTCAACTCTTTTTTTAAAATTAATTTTTTTATTTCTTTTCAACTTTAAAAAAATTAATTTCTTTTAAATTCAACTTTTTCTTTTAAAATTTTTTTAATTTTTAATTTTTTAATAGAATGATAGGATTGTGGTGAGAATTCAATACACTTTCCTTTTTCCTTTTTTTGTTTTACTTTTTTCTTTCTTTAATTTTTTTCATCTTACCAAATGGTTTTTTTTTTTCTTTTTCACATATATATATTTTTATAAATTTTTACACACAAGTCTCATTTTTCTTAACTTCATTTTTCCTATCTCCCTTTCTAAATCTCCTTATTCACTCACACTTTCCTCAAAAAAGAATATAATGAAATAATTATGATAGTGCACAGCTGAGATCAAGATCAGAAAGGATATGTATTTATATTTATCTTTAATTTATATTTACATTTTAAAAATATTTTTATCATTTATTTCTAAAAAATACACATTTATTTGTTTATATTATAATCATTAAAATTTGGCAAAATTTTTTTACTTTTTTTCATGGTTAAAATATAATTTAAAAAATAAAATAATTCCGTAAAGCGAGTCTAATTTTAGTACTCGAAATAAAAGAAACATGTGCATGGAGGTCAACCTATAAAGAAACGTGGGCATGGAGGTCAACCTATAAAGTCTTACTTTAGTACTCGAAAAACCAAACCGAGAGGCTCCACTGCCCTTCTTTTTCCTGGAAATTGCTTTGAAACGATCATGTCAAACTATTAGAATTGAAAAAAGAAAAAAAAGGAAACAAAAAATGTGAACTTCTTGGAAGCTAGAAATCAAATGGAAACAAATTAGCTGAGAAGATCAGTCTGTCAAAACGCGGCTGATCAGTTAGTATAAAAAAAACTGCTTATCAATATGCAGGAATCCATGTCCAGGTTCTCTGCTATCTTGGAACTCAAAACTACTTTATCTTCGTGTTCTGCTTCCCTGAACTGCAAGCTCATACGAGGTACAATTTCTCAACTTAGCAAGGATTTGTAGTTGATAAGTTAGTCCTTGTTAAATTCCAAAATCATGGGTTCCTCGACTCATTCCTCACATGTGAAGTCCTGAGTTTTTCAATCAAAATTTTTCTTCGTCCAAAAGATATTATTTTTTCTAGCCTTTACATTGTAAGTCTTGTTTGAGGGAACATGCATTTTTTTTTATTTTACGTATAATATATATTAATGTAACTCTTATAAATAACCTTTCATCTGAAGAAGTGCAGTAATTGTGCGGAAAATATATGTAAAGGGGACGGCGACATTTCAACTCATCAGCACAAATAAGCCTTGTGAAAGTAAAGATGATAACATGTGGTGGAGTCCGAAAATGGTTCAGCTTGCCCGAACGATTGGTCATATTCACTTTTGGTATTCCACTAATTTGCTTAATCTCTTCTTAGTAATTAAGATTTATCTTTTAATAGATATGCAGGTGCTATAAACCATTTACAACGAGACATGAAACTTAGAATAAATTTTTTGTTAGTTAGAGAGATAGTTTGTTGACCCAGTTATTTCAAAATTCTCTGGTAATTAACCCCAAGAAACTTCCTTTTGGTCATTTTATAGGTCTGCTTTTCAGCAAGGGCATGATGATACACGTGCTGGCAAACTTTATGACATTCCTCACAAATACATGGAATTTGAAACTAAAAGAAGCTGCAGCAATCGTTAATTTTCAAGAGGGACTAAGGGATATGTTGCAGATACACGTTGCTCTCTGCATTGATGCTTGGCTTGGTTATCGACGGATGTTGATTCTTTCTAGTGTTTTATATTGTGCTGTAAGTAATTTTTCTTTCTTCTACCACACAACTCTCTCCTAAAATTTCTAACTTGTATCCTAAATCTAAGGAAACGAAGATTGAAGTTAGATTTTGCAACTGTGATGCATGCAGGGACTTTGCCTTTTATCCTTATCATTCTCATTGCTACAAACACAAGAAGTACACCCCATGGAGAACGTCGATTATTTTAAGAAATTGAAACATACACCTTTCTGGGAAGGATTAGCTCTTCTGATTGTTGGTGAAGCTGCACAAGTTATTCCTCTTTCCTCCCTTTCTTTTGACCAAACCAAGTTTGTAAAAGTACGAGAACATTGTGAACTAAGGGGAAAAATTGGACGCATCCTTTCTAAGGTTAAAATAGGAGGCTGGCGGCAATTGCAGCGGAGATTTATCAGATTGCTTTGCACCGCAGTCCAGATGCTCGGAACCATAACATTTGTTTATGGTTTCATCTCTTTTGAACGCGGATGGCAACTGTATTTTGCTGTATCAGCCGGTGGCATAGCAGTTGGTTTACTTTGGTTTCTTTGTGGTCTCCCTTTCTATGGCCTTCCTCGGCTGCAGCCAAATCCTCTTTCGACTATGCTTCGCGTCTTGATTGCTGCGGTGCGGAAGAGGCATCTCATTTACCGAGAAAATTTATATGGACTTCATCGTTGTGATGGAGACGATCAAAATCAACTCCTCACAGACCATCTTGAGTGAGTTGCTCTCTCCAATTCAAGTTGATTTTGTTACAGCCTCTACGATTGTTTCCTTGGACAATATTTTGCATTACTTTCTTCTTTTCATGATTTGTTCTTTGTGTTTGTTGGATGTACCTTTAAGTACTATTGATGTTTTCGCTAAATACAGGTGTCTCAACAATGCTGCAGTGAAAGAGTCATCTGCTGATGATAATTCAATAATGGAAGAAACGAGATGGAAACTTTGCACGGTGAAAGAAGTGGAGCAAACAAAACTTCTGCTGAATATTGTTCCAATGTCTGTGACTTTCATCGTGTATGGCATGGTGAAATCTCTTGGCAATACCTTCTTCATAGAGCAGGCAAACAGCATGAGAGGTGGTAATGGTATCCTAATCGTAGTTTTTCAGATGATCCAAGGGTTTTCAAAAAGCCCAATCAAACGTGGGTATGAAGTGGTGTTCGAAAAACGAATAGACAGAATAAAAAGGGGGTATTCTGATGCAGTGAAGATTGGCTTAGGTATGCTGGCTTCTATAATATGCTGCGCTGTTGCAACATCAGTTGAATCCAAAAGGTTAAAAGCTCTGCCTCCGAGTCTGGAGGGTCTGCCAAATGATCCAAATGCTATTGCCCACATTTCGGCATTGTGGCTGGTTCCGCAGTTCCTTTTCCTGGCCGCGATGGAAGGATTAGCTGGCGATGGCATCCAGGATTTCTATGGTCACTACGCTCCTGATTCAAGGAGATATGGGCCTGTATTCACCAGCTTACTCACCGGATTAGGAGCAGTACTTAGCGTGGGATTCATAGCTATTCTAGATTATTACAGCAAATCCAGATACAATGAAAGTTGGCTTGGGGATAGTATAAACCAAAGTCGTTTGGATTCTATTTATCACGCATATGTCATAGTTGCCCTGGTCAACTGTTTTCTTTATGCTTACGTCGCCAAACAGTATTCTTATGATAATATCACAGGAAGAGAAGAAGAAGAAGAAGAAGAAATACAATTCTTGGAAGTGAAAGAAGAAACAGCAGCAGGAGACGAACAGAACAACCAATAACAAGTGAGCGTGGAGTTGCAAAGGATTTCAGTGCGTTAGCCTGCTGAATTATCAAGATATTCCACCTAGTCCAAGATTGTTTTCCATGTATTTATGCTTAGGATCTTACGTGTATCGTTTAGAGAGGTGCATGTTGCCAAAGAGTAAAGAGATTGTCCGAATGTTCTTGGATGTAGGGACTTTTAGGATTGTAAAAGTGAGAGTGAAAGAGAAAAAATATGTAAAGTGTAATTTATAAGTTTGTCAGCGGAAAAGTTATGGAATTTTTTAGTATAAAAAAGTCCCTGGAGTTGTATTAAATAGAAAAGTTGCATCTATTAAAATTTGAAATAATATCATTCTTTTAAAGAATAATTATACAAATCAATGGAATGTAGAAAATTTTCTGCAAGAAAAAATGTTTCTTCCAATGATAGATTAAACCAAGTCCACAATAGGAATTTGCTTGAGTGCGCAGTGACATTTTTGGGTGCCTGCCAACTGACAAAAACGAAGGATGAAAATGCTTTCATGAACTATTATTTTATTATTCAGGGACATATACCCACAAAATCACCAATTTCCTACATCTTCTCAAGTTCATTTAACTGTTTCAAAACTTAAAACAAACAAATTTGACAAAGGAGCCCATCCCCTTGTATTAATATAAAGTATTTTTCCTGTTTTTCAATCCTATCATGGTATCTTAATGAAGGTAATCAATGATCAAATCCTACCTTTAGATTTTAAAAATAACAATGGGTAAATGTTCTTAATCATTATCCATCTAAGTATTCAAAATTTTGGGGTAACAATTCCCTTTGGGCAGCCAACGGGGAAAAATCAAATTGTCTTACCTCTTTCGCAGGTATAAGAAGCCAACCACCACAGATATTCCAACAATCGCCACAGGAACGGCCCAATATTGCTTTGTCAAGTCCATGAAGTTTTGAGAGTAATCAGTTGCTTTCTTCTTGGAGGAAATTTCAAGTTCCGGGATGTTGAGGATGTGTCAAGCTCGCCAATGCAAAAGTTCTACATGAGCTCTTTCACTCTTTTGATGTGTCCAACATCTTCAAAATCATCTGTTGCGTCTTTCCCTTCAAGGAATTTATCGGAAGCATGTCATTAAGGGGATTCATTATTTCATAATTTGGACACTATTAGCTCCAAAGTAATAAGAAAATAGCTTTTGTTGTGGTTCCAGTCCATCCATTCTCCTGATAGTAATTGCAAGAAATAAAACATGATAGTTGGTACATGTTACTAGAGTCTTTTAATTCAATACAAATTAATCAGTTTATAACTTTTTTATAATCATTTTCGTAACATTTACTGCAGCATCTTTCCGTGCGTTGCTGCATTCAACACAAGATCACTTGGTGGAAGTTCATTCGGCAGACCAGGAAGTGGTGACTGCTTTAGGAAGCAATGTGGGTGACAGACTTAATAATTTCAATGAAGCATTGCAGTTAATGAGGACATCGGGTATAAATATCCCAAGACATGCTTGTTTGTACGAGACTGCACCTGCCTATGTTACTGATCAGCCCCGATTTCTCAACTCTGCTGTTATATCTGTTACAAAGCTAGGGGACACATGAACTTTTGGGAGTGCTTAAGAAAATTGAGCAGGACATGGGTCGTACTGGTGGAATAAGGTATGGTCCAAGGTCAATTGATCTAGACATCTTGTTTTGTGGAAAGTATCGGATTGGTTTGGATATACTTACTGTCCCCAATTAGAGAATTTGGGAGCGACAATTTGTAATGGCCCCATTAATGGATTTACTAGGATCAGTTATTGACAGGATACAATTGCGTGCTGGCATTCTTTCTCAACAGATTCAGATGGACTATTTGGTTCGTGGGAGAAATTGGGTGGTGAATCCCTCATTGGAAAGGAAGGAATGAAAAGGGTTTTACCAATTAGGAATCACTTATGGAAGTGGTCGGAGAAAACCTCGGTCATGGGTATTCTTAATCTGACTCCAGATAGTTTTAGTGATGGTGGAAAGTACGTATCTGTGGAGAATGCAGTTTCTCATGTTCGCTTGATGATTTCAGAAGGAGCAGATATAGTAGATATTGGTGCACAATCTACACGGCCAATGGCCTCTAGGATTTCTGCAGAAGAAGAATTGGATAGGTTAATCCCTGTCTTAAAAGCGGTTCAAGGAAAGCCTGAGATGGAGGGAAAGCTCATATCTGTGGATACTATCTATTCAGATGTTGCCTGGCTGTCAAGAAAGGGGCTCATATTATAAATGATGTATCTGCCGGGCAGTTAGACCCTAACATGCATAGGATTGTTGCTAGCCTTGATGTTCCTTATATTGCAAATGAGGGGAGGGGAGACCTTACTACAATGCAGAGTAGTGACAACCAGCAATATGATGATGTTTGTTCTCAGGTTGCCTTCGAGTTGTTCTCAAGAGTTAAGGATGCAGAGCCATCCGGAGTTCCAGCTTGGAGTATTATTCTTGACCCTGGAATTGGATTCTCCAAGAAGACTGAACATAACTTGGACATCCTCATGGGCTTACCTGCCATTCGTGCAGAGACTGCTGAGAGAAGTTTGGCTGTGTGTCATGGTCCCGTACTTATTGGACCATTAAGAAAGAGATTTTTAGGTGAAATTTGCAATCGTCCTGCTGCAATTGAAAGAGATCCTGAAACCATTGCTTCTGTCACTGCTGGGATTTTGGATGGTGCAAACATTGTCAGGGTGCACAACGTTAAAGACAATGTAGATGCTGTGAAACTTTGTGATGCAATGCTGAAAGAGAGGAGAACTCATCAATCATAATGCTAGGAAAGGCAACCGTCTTAGTTCAGTCATTACCATACCCTACCAAAGTCAAAGAATTGTGAGCTAAACATTCGAAGGCCTCAGATGATTTACTAAACTCTTTCTTCATGATAAATAATAAATTTAAATTAACAGTTTTGTATGAAGTTTCCCACTGGAGGGTTTTTTTTTTTTTTTTTCTTTTCTTATATTCTTTACATCAAACTTGTATTTGGAAGATTTTGTTGTAAACTTTAGTCATTGTTCATTGGGCATTTGTTTGAGGATAGACTTGATATAAGCCAGCAAATTATTCTGTACAAAGCTGGATGCAATGGAATGTATTTGCCACCAGCAGTTAAGGACAAGAATCGTTTGGAAATTTACATGGAGGTCCTTCTATGGGGAGGTTCTTTTAACAATCTTTTTAACACTTCGAAAAGTGTAAAAATCAGTTTTAACTTTTGTCAATTGACGATCCGACATTGGGCTTTGAGCAGATAAGCTATCAGCCTTTTTTTTTTTCTTTATTAATTTGTTACGCGTCATTGCTATTTGCCCGCAGATCAACACGCATCTTTTCCGTTAATTTTGGTCTTAGTCCCCTTCTAGATTCGAAGGTGCAGTGTTAATAAGTTTATTACATCAATTAAATTTAAATAAAATTAAATTAACATAATTTATTATTATTATTTAATTATAATTATAATAATTTTTATTATTAATTTAAATTTCATCATAATTAATTTTATCGTCCATTTACATAAAATTTTAAATTCGTTCAAAATTGTTGATCAAATAAAAGAGTAAGGTTTAGCTGCATACACACCGTGACAGTTGCCCTTTTTGCTGTCGTGGGGCACGACATGCCGAAATGGTCAATAACAAACAAGTCACCACCCATAGGATTAGCGCCAATAATTATAAAAAAAAATCTTGTACGTCGGTAGCAAACTTTTGAACAGTGAATATTTATGTACTTAAAGTTGTAGATTTCGGGGGAAAGAGAGGGTGTACACGTGACACTTCTTCCTCCTTTTAAAATTTTATTTTTAAAATTTTACTTTATTATTTATTAAATTTATTAAATAAATAAATAAATAATTAACTTATTTTTTAAAAATTATTTTATTAAAAAAATTTTATAAAAAAATCAATTGAGATATATATTATAAACAATATTAATTCAATTAATTTTGATTGTACCACTCTAACATATGTATTTTTAAAAAAATTCAGAATCGAGTCAAAATATATATATTTTAATTAAGTCATATTAAAAATGAATATAATAAAATAATTTATTAAAATAAAAATAATAAAATAATTTATATTCGATACATTTTAATTCATTTTGATGCAATTAGTGTGTTATTTTTATTTAAAATAATTTGATTGAGTATTTTTTTTTGAATTAAGTTTGAATAAGAAAAATGTTTTAAAGACTACACTTTAACCTTGATATATATAAAAATATATTTATTATTTATTTAATTTTATTAAAAATATTATTATTTAATATATTAATTTAATATATTCATATGCCATTCCTGATTTTATATATATATATTTTAAAATTTTTTATTAAATAAATTTTGTAAAAAAAATAATAAATGGATATTTGAGTGACAAAATAAAATAACCTATAATGATAGGCTTCAAATCATTATAATTTAATTGATGCGATTTTTTTAAATAAAAATTGGTTAAATTTTACTTATTTGAATAATTTGTGTCAAATTAAAATTGGATTTAAGGTGCTATGCCCCGATCATCCTAAGGATATATTAAAAAATATATTTTATTATTTATATTTATATTTTATATTAATAAAAATATTATTTAATATTTTAATTTAATAAAAAATTAGAGTTATATATAATTAAGTTTTAATTTATATTAAAAAATAAATCATCATTTATACAATTAATATTATAAATTTTAGAGTTCAACTCTTTTTTTATTTCTTTTCAACTTTAAAAAAATTAATTTCTTTTAAATTCAACTTTTTCTTTTAAAAATTTTTTAATTTTTAATTTTTTAATAGAATGATAGGATTGTGGTGAGGGTTCAATACACTTTCCTTTTTCCTTTTTTCGTTTTACTTTTTTTTTTTCTTTAATTTTTTTCATCTTACCAAATGGTTTTTTTTTTTCTTTTTCACATTATATATATTTTTTATAAATTTTTACACACAATTCTCATTTTTCCTATCTCCCTTTTTAAATCTCCTTATTCTCTCACACTTTCCTCAAAAAACAATATAATGAAATAATTATGATAGTGCACAGCTGAGATCAAGGTCCAGAAAAGATATGTATTTATATTATCTTTAATTTTTATTACATTTTAAAAATATTTTATCATTTATTTCTAAAAAATACACATTTATTTGTTTATATTATAATCATTAAAATTTGGCAAATTTTTTTACTTTTTTTCATAGTTAAAATATAATTTAAAAAATAAAATAATTCCGTAAAGCGAGTCTAATTTAGTACTCGAAATAAAAGAAACATGTGCATGGAGG